TATTCCCAAGATTTGGATGTAGCCAGTCCCTATTTGCTCTGCTTGCTGCTTGAGTGATAATGCTATCGTGGGCCTGTGGTTCAGTGACATACACAAATCAACCTAGTCTACCATGAGACTTAGGAGGGAGGAGAATCAGAGAAGGGAGGAAGAGGACCTGTCTCATTCACTCCTTTCCAGGTCAAAGTGCCTCCTTGTTGCTGCTGTGTTGTTTCTATTGCTGCGGTTTGATGCACTGAGAAATTACAGAACAGTGAAATAAAAGCTGTGTTTTGTGATGCTTTTTTTCATAGGCTTGTTACTCTGGCTGCATGAGACTTCCTCAGTCTGCATGGCCACCCACAGAGGGGGCAGTTGGGAACTGTGTGGGCAAACCAGATTTTGGGCTCTGCTGCTATGGGTGGCATCTATCCTGGTGTGGTGAGACCTCAGGTCTTATGCACTCCCTAAGGCTGCAGGGTCAGAGCATTGATCTTCTCCAGGTCACCTGCGTCAGTTGTGACTGTTCATCTGCATCAGACACAAGAAGGCCCCAGACTCAGGTTCTCTTGGGGAATCTCAGCAATGTTTGAGATTTTGCACGTGACATCAAGAGTTGGAAGTATGTGAGTAAGTAAACAGAGAGCCCTTGATGGCATTGTCTCCCATTGGAAAAAAACATTACACCACTGAAGCCATGCAGCCTGAACTAGGATAAGGATTGGACCTGTGTGGAAATTTATACCCTTGAATTGTCAGTTCTTATCGTAAGTTAATAAGTTAGGAATCTGTTGGCTGATTTCATGTAATCTTTTAAGGAGGTAAGAAGGAATTAAATTCTGAATTGAAACATAGTATTGTGATAAAGGTGGGGGAATCAAACTTCTTTTTTACAAAAGAAAGAAATTCTGATTTTTTTTCTGTCAGTTAGCTAGTATGTATGTACAGCCCTGCCAGTCATGAAACTCTGAAATATGAAGGACTGTATTACATGGCCCAAGGTTGGAGGACTTCAAAGGAAGCAAAGGCTTGAAAAGATTGTTTGAATGGTGAAAATTTGAAGGGCTGTTGCTGAGAAGGGCCCAGGGGTTTCTGAGAGTTGTGGGTGTTAGGGACACACCACATGCATTCAAGGAAAACAAGCTTTTGTAGTTCTGCTGCTGGCAGAGGCAAATACCCAGTGTGAAGGAGTCTTAAAGAGCTTTTGGTCTGGAGCAGTTAGCAAACAGCCTGGCCTAACAGCTGTCCCCCAGCAGGGACAAGCAAAGCTGATTTTCAAAGGTAACACTGGAGCAGCATCAGAATGGGGTTATCACACATGTAGCCCAGGTGGCATACATTTGCTTAATGAGTGTATAAATGTTCCAGCTTTCTGAGATCACTTAATAAGCCTGGCATTTCTTAGATTCTGCCTTTTTGGATTCAGTTACAGTTCTCTTTGCAGTGCAGCCCTTTGCTCTCTTTAACTCAGGCCACTTCTACTGCTGAGAAATAAGCACAGACTTTCCACATACCTCTCAGATACAAATGACATTAGGTCCCTCCAGCATGTAGAGATACTGCTACTTATGGAGAGACTGGCTGTTTATCCTGCCTTTGATGTGCATCCTTCCCACCTGCCCCTCAGTTGCTAGTTTTGCTTCATGTTTACCCCTGTAAGCACCATCCCTGAAACTCTTTGCTTTGAAAGCAAGCAGAGGGGGAAGTGAGGTGACTCGCTTGAGAGGCTTGTGGCAGAGGTCCTGTCTCTGCAGCCCTGGTGTGGTATATTACCCTTCAAACTCCATTTATAGCACCATCTCTGCTGGCTGGCAATATCCCAGTCTGTGGGCAGTGAGCATTGCCCCCTCCCGTGTGGGCACATGGCTTCACAGCACCCGGGCACCAGAGAAGGCATTTCAGTTGGGTGAGAAGGCCTTTGGGTTGACAAAGAATCTGGGGGGAAGGGGGCAGCAGGGAAGGATCCCTGGGCACAGAGAACAGAGCTCTAATCCTGTGGCAGATAACATCATGTCTGCAGGCTAGGCTTGTGTGTGTTTGGGGGAGCTGGAGGGGCAGAGATTGTTAGGCAGTATTTGTTTGTAAAGCCACTTGCTCTGAAGATAATGCTTGCACTAACTTCTATTGAGGGAGCAGTGTGAGTCCCCACAAAGTCCTTTCCCAAAGTGTCTTTGAAGCCAAGAACCCATTGAAAGGAAGAAAGGCCAAGAGAGGGGATTAGTTTGTTCAGCAGCTGTGAATTTCAGTGGGAGGCTGATGAACTCCAAAGTCTTTGTTGAGATGTTTTTTGTAAGGAGCCCTGCTGGAGGGAGAGACCCACACCGGGGCCGCGGCCTTAGACAAGAAGGAATCTGAAGCGGCGGGGAGCTGTAAACGGGCCACAAGGACTTTTCCCAAACACTTTTCGGAAAAGGTGTTGTAAAGAGATCGGAGGGGGATTAGCATGTGAAATGACACTTTCCATTGACTCCACTGAGGGGAGGGGAAAAGGGCTGGCTGGCTGATTTATTAGCATTTTGTTCCCTTCTCTATTCTGCTCGCCCAGCAGCCCCCCCTCCGCTGTCTCCCCTCCTCCCGAGGCCTCTAAAGAGGCTGGGATTGGAAAAGGGAGCGGGGGGCTGCCTGTTTGTGTGTCATCTGGGCGAAGGTGACCACCTGGGAAGCTGAATGTAAATATTTCTCCTCTGAGGAATGCGCCTTCATTAAACCGAAATGAATACATGGAAGCATCCAATCCTGCCCACAATGGCAGCAGGGCCTTTACCGCTGAGGGCTCCGTGCGCCGGGAGGGGGGACCCGCTGCTGAGGTCAGCACATTCTGCAGCTGCGGTGTCGCCGTTTCCCCGGCGGAAGCAGCGTGTGGCGGTGGGGCTGTCGCTGAGGTGCCCCGCATGTCCCCTGCGCCAGCAGCCGCCACCGCCGGGGCTGTGCCACGGCCTGCGCGGGCAGCAGTGTCAGCAGGGAGAGATGGACTGCGAGTGGCAGGAAGAGGGAAGCGGCTTCTACAGCTTCTACAGCTGACTGTGGAACGGGGGGAGCCAGAAGGAAAAGGGGGGCCCATGCTGGAGCTTTCCCTGGTGGTCGAGAGGCTCTTGCTTCCTCCTTCCTTTCCTGACCATCCACAGGGACGTAGGGGAATTGCTGCTGGGAATGCAAGAGACCTTGGGCAGGGTCACTGTGCTAGTAAGAACTTCTGTGGAAACAGTGGTGGTTTGTGTATGAAGTGGAAGTGTTTCAGTTTTCCCTGAGAATGGGCCAAGGTTTCTTGCAATCTTTGAAAGGCCAGATTCTTGCTTCACGGGAATGCTCTTGCTCTGAGACCCGAGATCCAAATTCCTGCTCCCTCTGAGGTAGTCCTAGAGTAAAGGGACTAATTGATAATGGAGAGACAAATACAGGCTGCTGAGTGTCTTTAATATATCAGCTATGTAGTGGGCAACTGGGCCCTGCCTACCCCCCCTCCCACTCCATTTCTTCCTGGCAGTTGCATTGCAGTTGGATGCATCCTCAAGCAAGCTCAGGAGAGAGCACATCCTTTCCCCTTGTGGTAAGGGCTGAGGTTGTGCTGGCTGGAACTGGTTGTCTTCCTGGGCTCAGATGGGTAAGCAGTATGTTTTAATCTCCAGGACACTTAAATTTCAACATACACATGCAAAATGGGACGAAAGAACACCCAGCCACTTAGACACAACAGCATTTTGCAAGCACTTGGCTACTGATTTATTGCATTGGCTATTGGTTTACAAATATTGGCTACAAGATGGGTCTAATGGCCAGTAACAGCTCTGCTGGCTTCTTGTCTGGCTAAAGGACATTTCAAACAGCAAAGTAGATGATCTTATCACAGCACAGGGGAAGATTGCTGTGATGGTGCAGTGAGCTTCCCCAGTCCTGCACCTGGCAGCTTCTTACCTCCCTCCCCTAGCCTCAGCAAGGGAACAGAGATGCATCAACCAAATCTTCCTGCTGCTTGCTTAGCCTATAGAATATATACAATAAGTGGTAGAGGAAAAACTGTTATGTATACATCACAGTAACTGTGCAATAAATTAAACTTCAAAGTGCTTCACTTTTCCTATTTACACCACCATTAAATAGTAACTGACATTATTTTCTCAGACTAGTAAGAAGTATTTAGTTAGTTAGCTGACAGGGTAAGAGTGCTTGGCAAGTACACCAGGACATGGGGAGGAGGCTCAGCTTGGCAGCTCCTCTCTGGGAGCAATTTGGGAGGAAGGAGGTAGTGGAGAAGTGTGAGGACATCTTTATGGCATCAGTCAGGGGCTTTGATAGCAATGCTGGCCTAAAAGGGGACACCAGACGTGGAGAGTTGGAAGACACAGAGAAAGCATGTAAAAATCAAGTGATGGAACCCCTGTTTTGGACAGCTGTGTAATGGGAAGGTCAAGCAGCAGTTTCGATCTTGCTGCTGCCATTTCAAATGTAAAGTAAAGCACTGGAGAGCTTAGCAAAGCTGTGGGGTCCCTGGAGGCTGGCTTGCTGAGAAAGGAGTTGCATGTCTTTTGTATTTCCTCATAGTGTAGGCCTGAGGCCATAACTGTTTTAGTACCTCTATTTTTTTAAAAGCTTCCTCTCATTTACAGATTACTGATCTGAGTTGCCCAATTGTTGGTGCCGTCTCAGTTTCCTTATACTTTTTATCTCACTTACTCAAAAGCCCAGAGCAGACTAGCTCAAAACCACAGGAACCACCAAAACCTCCTGTGCTTTCAGAGATAATGCCATAGTCACTGGATAGAGTGACACTGAGTTGAAGGGACCGAGTCTCACCTTGTTTTGTGAACACTTGAAGGTCTCCCCAGAAGACATTGCCCACTGCACTAATGCCCTGTATGGGCAAGGCCCGAGCACTCATACAAAGCTCTTTTGCCTTGCCTAAGCGCCAGTGAGGCAGCAGTGGGAATGAGACAAAACTATGCCAAAGAGAAATGGTGCCAGGAGCTGATGGGAAGGGCAGGGGAGGAGAGGGGCAGGCAGGACTGTGGAGGAGCAGAAGCAAGTTAGAGCTTTCTCTTGAGCTTGCGGCTGGCTCCGCCACCCCCGCTCCGCTCGCGCTTCTCCTTGCGGACACAGAAGTACTTGGTGACCCGTTTGCGGCACTGCTCGCAGCGCACGGCGCAGCACCAGTGGAACTTGCAGTTGCAGCTGGACACCATCTCGGCTCGCCTCTCCTCCACCGCCAGCCCGCAGTCCCCGCACAGCCGCCGGCAGCTCCGCTTCTCCCACTTGCTGAGTGCCTTGCCCCTCTTCAGGCACTCCCGGCCTTCCGTGCCCAGCAGCCCCAGCGTCTTGTTCTCCAGGCAGTAGTCAGGAGAGTCTTCCAAATGGACCAGTTCTTTCTTGGAGATGGAACTGAAGGTCTCAGCGATGGCACCCCGGCTGGCAGCGCTGTTCCCTGCTCCCTGCAGCAAGTCCACCTTCAGGGCTTTGTGGTACCTCTCCTTGAGGTAAGTGCCCACCTCCCGAAACTCAGGCAACTGCAGCCAGCAGGTCTGGGTGGTGCAGCTCCCCGACACACCATGGCATTTGCAAGTCCGCTTCATGGTCCCTTTCACTGCCTACAGAGTGATCAGAGAGAGGAGTTCAAGAAAAAAAACAAAAACAGAGGGGCTGTTTCTGTGCTGCAATGCATGCAGAACCATGGCTCCAGGCCTGTGGAGGAGTTTGGCATCAATTCTCCCTGCACAGTAGTCCTGAAACTCACAGATTTGCTTTTCCACAGTGCTCTCCTCCTTGAACTGGGAGAAGGAGGACTGCAGAAAGTCATTAACACTGTAACACAGAAGCTTTGCTACCTTAGAGCAGACACCATGGTACTGCTGCCATCCCCCCAGAAAGTTGTTTCTTCTGGACATGTGTTTTTAGCCACATCAAATTGTGACTCTCCACGTTGAATGCTCAGAGCCAATTTGGTATGCACTGTCAGCTCTGGAGGGAGAGAGGCGCTCACCTTTCTACCTGCCTCGTTGTTATGCAGGTTCATAGCAGCTCTGGCATCTTGTCCAGTCTCCAGGGCATCCACAAACTGCTTGGAAATAGCTTCCCCAAAGCCCACATTATCGCTGCAGCCTCCCCACAGCCAGCCTTGTCCCCCTAAGAAAGGAGATGAGATGTGTGCTGTCAAAGACACAGAAGAGGTTTCAGAAATGATGGGAGGGAATGGAGGCTGTGGGGCAAATCCAGCCTTTTACCACACAGTACTCCCAGATTCCCTCCCATTGAGTTCATGACATTTCTCCTGAGGCCTGGATAGTTAAGTGGCTCAGGTAGGCAGCAGAGGGGTTATGTCCTGTACAGCAAACACAGGGCTTTCCAGGTTTTCTGTAGAGCAGGATTTAGAAGCTATCAGTTACCATGCATTAGCAGACATGCAGATAAGCCTTTGGGTCTCTAATCACTTCTCAAACCCTGACTTCAGCTGGTTCAGAGTGACTTGCAGGAACAGCATCTTGCTAACTTGGATCAACAAACTGGTGGAGGGATCCTGGTCAGAGGAACAGATCCCACTCTGCCCAGAACAGCCCAAACCTGGCACATGTGCATCAAGGAGGCTGTGGTTTTGGCACACCCAGAATTCTGAGATGATGTTTGGCATCTTAGAAGGGTCTAATTTTCTAGTTGCCATCAGGAAACAAGCGAGTCAGCAAAGAACTGTGAAATTACACAAAAATATGTGAAAGTACTTTTCTTAACTGAGTGGGAGCTGAGTGGGACTGGAAAAACATCATGCCGTTCTTTTCCTCCTAGAGAAAGATGCCAAATTTTTAATGATGATTTGAAATCTGGAACATTCTGACTCTGACATGCCACATTGGTACATGTTGGGAGTTGCGGTTTAATGGCCTTGTGCCTCTCTGGAAAGGCCTGGCCCTCACCTGGACTTCCCCAGGGCATCGTGATCCCCTCTCCCAGGGAGAGACAGGAGTGCTTCATGGGAGGTGAGTAATTGCAGTGGATGATGCAGTCCAAATCAAGAACTGGGACTGAAGGAAGTAGAAAAACCTTTCACCAGCTTGGATTCAGTCCAGTGGCTGAATTGAATCATGCTGTTTTGGTCAAGCCCAAAAGTTTCCTGTGCCTTACAAGGTTTTAAGTCCACAATGGAAAGTTTTGTATTAAAACCAGATATATTTGGGGGAAAGGAAATGTAGCATGACTAACTTGGTTTTCCAGAGAAGATAGAATTCGATGTGTTGTTACCCAAAAGTCTTGCTCTGCTAGAGACGGGCATTCCCAAGCTTTGGACACCTCTGCAGCAGTGTCTGTTTTCAAAACTATCAGCCAGTAAAGTAAATTACTAAATATTGGACACTCCAGAGGAGTTTGTCATAAAGTGACACATACTGACTGCCTAGTGTAGCTGGGCAGGGCATGGCTTTTACAAGATCTTGATAATGTGAAATTTGACCTCTTTCTATTCAAAACAAAATCCCTAAATGTCAGTGTTTTCTGTGAAAGCTGAGCAGAGAGCTGAAGTGGTGCAGCCTGGAGTTCCCCACCAGGGGTGCTTGGTGGCTGAGGGCCTGGAAATCACTGCCATGTGGAGGGTGTGATGGCTGTGTGCACCCACAGTGATTGTGCTCCTGTGTGCCTGTCATGCTGATGAGTGCTAGAGAGGTTTATGAATGCCACCCTGCTTTTTCTCATGGTCATTCTGCTGTGGGCCAACCGGGTCCTGCAGACCCTGGGAACCCTGAGATCCCTGACCTGTGCTGCTATACCAAGATCATTTAGGTGCATAGCAACAGATCCACTCCTCTGCCTGTATGATATAGTCATTCTCTCCAGCAGCTTAAATAGAGTTCTTGATTTGAACCAGGGAAACTGCAGCCCCTTCTACTTTCCTGCTCATTTAGAAAGTAATGGAAAGCATCAAGAGCTTGGCTGCTGTAAACTGGAGGTGACTCCATTAACTTCCACAGAGCTACTTTGGTTTGAACCAGGGAAAGCTTTTCTCTGGGCATTATTCCCAGGTGTGGGGACCAGGATGGGGAGGTGTTTCTGCAGGCCTCAGTGGAGGAGAGAAGAGCTTCTCCTGCCACCTGGGATGAGTGAGGGGCAGCAGCTCATCCCTCCTTACCCAGCTGTCCATTGCGGGAGTCGTCACAGCCACAGTTGTCAAAATCCCCCAGGCTGCAGTTCCGGGTCAGTGTGTACATGACACCCGCAGAGCTGATGGCGTGGACAAAGGCTGTTTCTCTGTTTGCTGTCAAGGGGGAATACAAAGAGAGCAGATGTGCAAAAGATTTCATGGCAAGGGCAGTGTTAGAAATTGTTCCTACCATGCAGGAGTCTGCACAGGACATCTGCATTGGGGAAGACTTTGTGGAGTGGAAAAGAGGCCCTACATGTCAGATTAGCTTAATTTGGGTTTGAACTGCATGAAGATAGAATCTCCCAAATATGATCCAGACTGACTCATGTCATTTGAAAGGGTGTGGAGGAGATAGTACCTGGTTGTCCTTGTGGGACCTCAGCAGTGGTGATATAGCACAGATTGCCAATGTCCCCCACTTGTCACTAACACACCCCAACGGGAAGGGGTTCTCTCCAAGTATCAAAGAACTCCTTCCCCACAGTCCCCTCGAGCCATACCTTCTGCTGAAAGGGCTCTGAGCAGTGACCATACCTACCCACCAGGATCAGTCTGGGAATCATCAGCTGGCTTCCCTGAGCCTTTGGCTTTCCTTTAATATGGTATGGATAACCTTGACAGGAATGGTTCCAGGACCTGCTTCTGGTCTCAGAGCGGGCCTTGTGCTGCAACTGTCTCCTCAAAGCCCTGCTTTGAAACCTTTGTCCACCTCTGCCTGGGGCTCTGGTCTCTTGTCTGCTGCCAGTCCCACCAGAGGCCTGAGGCTCTCCTCCACACCCAGGTCCTGCTTTTACAAAGCAGGTATGAGCATCAAACATAGGTCTGAGGGCCAGATATGCACTGAAATATTTCCTGGGACCTGCAAATAGGTAAGGAATAGGATACAGTGACAATGACCACAGCCCCATGCTCTACAGTGGCCCAGGTCAGCGATGCTGGATTTCTGCCTAGGGTGATTCTGACATCTGGAAAATGTAGGAAGACTTTTGTCCTGTCTCTTGGCCCGAGCACAGCCGCTGATGAACTTTCCTGCTCCCTTTAGCCTTATCCCTCTGCTTGCTACCCAGGCAGCCTGTGCTGGTTCTCAGCCTCTCTGGGGATACCCTGGGACACCATCTAGCATGGGATCCAGCAGATCATGTGCAGGTCAGGGGGATGCATCCTTGTGGGGAGAAAATTGTGTAAGGTTTGGTCCTGTCCCAGCTGGGACTCAGCAGGTCCATGGGTAAGGCTGGCATTGCAAGGAGGCCTTGGAGCTAGATCCCACTGTATCTGGGAGCTGATGGGTGAAGGAGTCTCCTGGGGTGATTCCTGGGAGAGGCTCTTCTCAGGTGAGAATGGGGAAGAAAAGGAGGCACTTGGGAAGAGAGGAGGGGGCCATGGGCTCTAACCTGTAGCAAGGGGGTCCCAGTAGTGGTATCCAATACTTTCCTTACCACTGCGCAGCCCGCCGTGGCTGGAGAGCTGCAGTGCCCTCTCCGGACAGTTCCAGCGGTCCCAGGCGAACTGGAACTTGCACTCCTCGATGCCGCTCTGCGCCCCCGCCGCCACACTGCTGGAGTAGATGAGATAGGCCTAGGAACAGAGCTGGAGGTCAGCACTGGGACAATGCATATTTTCAACTGAAAGTGACCTGTGTGCCATCTTACAGAGACAAGACTTACAGAGCTCAGAGGGTCTTCCTGGCTTGGCTTCCCTGGGAAGCTCACCACCACCACCAGCACACCCATTTCCTGCTGAGCTGGGTCAGAGCCTGAGCCTCCTGTGGGAGAAAGCTCAGCTCTTGGCTGTTAGCCACATTAGGAAATGTGTCAGCCAGCCTCTGTCATGGGAACCCCTTATCTCTCCACCATGAGAGGGAACAGCTTTCTGCTCAGATCAGGGAGCTCCAGGCTAGCAGATGCCTCAGCCTGCCTTCTTCACCACAGCCCATGGGGGAGAGCTAGTGCTTTGGGGCAAGGTTGCTCCACCAGTGTATTGGGAGATAGATGGGCTTGGGGAATAGCCAGAACAAAATCTGGGTAAATTTTACAACTGCTTCTGGCTAAGAAAAAAAGCCTCTGAAAGAAGAGCACAAAGGTGTGAGGGGTCAAAAATATGGAACAAAGTCCTGGCAATTCTAACTGTGCTCCTTGAGGAAGTATGTTTTACAGGGCCCATAGAAAATACTTCCCAGCTGTATCAGTGTGAACCCTGATGCCAGCCTGATCCTCAGGAAGCAATAGATGTCAGGTGAGAGCCTTGGCTGGCATCAATAGACAAATCTCCAGAATCTGGCCCCAACCAGTTTAAAAGAACCCCAGGTCAGCATTGCTCAGTGCTCATGCAGCCCAAGGAGCTCACAAGTTCATGGCCTTTCTTTTTGCCTTATTGCTTGAAACCTGGGGGTGAGAGGAGCTCTGGCCAAGGCTGAGTGGAGAGGAGTGGGAAGGAGGAGCCCCTCTCTCTCTCTCTCTCTCTCTCTCCTTCGCTCTCTGTGTTTAGTGGAATCAGGGACAGAGATCAAAGGGATTTCTCTTACCTTGGGGCCCGTCATCAGGAAATTATTCACTGACCTGGAAGATAGAGACAGTGTCAGCAGGGAGGGGGTGATGGTGGAGGGGCCTGGGGAATGCCAGGCATCCCAGGGCTCTCCTCTCGCTCCCCCACAGTCTGCCTGTCTCCTGGCTGCAGGCACCTCTGGTCTCTCCACCATGTCCCTTTGCTGCTCCCTAAGGAACAGGACAGTGCTGTCCCCTTCCCCCCACCCTGCTCCCCTCAGTCAGACTGTACTGGGCTGCAGTTCCTTCACTGCTCCCTCCTTTTGCTTTCCTCTGCTCTTGGTAATCAAGAGGTTGATTGGTACCCTTCGTACCAATCTACCTCTTATTTAGCTTTCTGGTCCCCCTAGCCTTGCTTTTTACCTCACTTGACTAAAGTCAGGGTAGCATTTCTCCCAGCCCCCAGGAGTGGGACCATGCTGAGGGAGGGCATCACACCACTGCTCTTTTGCAATATGAGTCCAGGTGCATCTCTCCACATCACAGTCCCTTGTTTTCCTGTGGTGCCATGTCTTACTGCCCACACTCTCGTCTTGGTCAGGTTATGGTGATGGCTGAGCACAAATATACCTGTCCTTCCCATCCTCTTGGACACTGTGCAGGGGACCCTGAGGGTTTGGGGTGGGTGGGAGGTCCTAGACAAAACACTAAGCTTTCTGCTGTTCCCACTGAAGTTGTGGAGGGATCATCTCCAAGGGTCAGGCAGTGTGGCTTGTCTCCAACACTATGGCCTTGCAGAATGGATGCTGTCTGGTCTGAGTCTTTCTTCTTTCAGTAAGAAAGACTGTTTCTGTGCAAATGATCAGTCGGTGTTGGGATTCCATATGGTGCAGTGACCACCTGCAGAATTTGGAGAATGGCTGGGTGAATCCTGCTTAGCTGCATCATGGCAGAAAGGACTGACACTTTGAAGAAGCCCAAGTGCCAATTTGAAATATCCCAAATCAGAAGTGAAGTAAGAAAAGAGAGAGTCTCCTAAAAATACCTAATTCCACTCTCTCCGGGTTTATAAAATAACATCACTATTTCTGTTGAGTCTGTGGAACATTTTCCCTGCTGGAACTCAACACTTCAAGAGAAATGGGTGACTGCTGTTATCACCCAGAGAGGACACTGGGGCCAGAGAGGTGGAATGAGTGGATTGAGATCTTGCAGTGAGTGAGTGATTGGGAAGATGACAGAGCATGCACTGATAGAAACTTGGTTCTTCAACTTCTCAAAATTATGTTCTGCTTCAAATGAGTCACAAATATTCCCGCATAAGGGACAGAAAGATACTGTCTTTTTGTGCTACAAATCCAGCACAGACACTGTGGGGGCATCCCAGGGTGGGCTCAAGCACAGTCAGAAGCAGGCAATGCTGTCCAAAGCTGAGGGTCAAAATGCAGCCCTGCCATCGACACGGGGACAGACAGGATGGCAGGACTGGTGCCCAGACATGAGACACGTGAGAGACTGAGAGAGGATGCTGTCCTGCCCTGGAAAACCACTTGTGCAGTTAGCAAGCCCACTTCACCTCCACCAGAACTGCACCCACAGAGATCCTTTCCAAAGTACACCACAAAAGGAGGTCTCATTACTTTAGCTTGGTCAAAATCACAAGAAACCTGATCTTTGCTGTTACAGTTTAGAGTTAGGAGAATGAGTTTGCAACATTTCATTCTGGCAAGTCTAGCTTTCTTTTGTTTTGCTTTGGTTTTTATGGGTTTTTTGGTGAAAATGTGTTTACATTTATGAAACTTTCTTTGGGAAAGATTCCCCTGGGTCAAAACAGGAGTGGGCTGTGAGAACAGGAGATTCTTTCCCTTTGTTCCAGGCTTGGGATTCAGACCCGGCTGTGCTCCAACCCCCATGGGCACTTTAGCACGAAGTCGACGGTTGTTTTGCAGAGGAATTTTCCTTTGGAAGCTGCTTCTGCATTGTACAGCTAATTAAATATTTCCTGGGACTTGGAGAGACGGCATCTGTAGCCGAGTGATTAGAGCATCGGGTGACCTGAATCACACAGGGCCATGAACCTGGGGCTAATCAGACTGTGCAAGCTCCATGGGTCCCCATCCTAACGCAACTGGGTAGCAGCATGAACAAGTCATTTTTCCATCTGGTTTCCCTTCTGTCCATTGCCTTGACCTTAAGTGCTTTGCTATGGGGACCACACTCAGGATGTTGTCAGTGTGAATCTGGGCCCCTGGTAGCAGCTGTGAGAAAACTCTGGTAAAATGCTCCTGCATAGGCAAGAGCTAGAAAATTGCAAGTCCTCTCTTATCTTGGTTTTGTCACCAAAAGAAGAGATATATCCCATCTGCGTTGTTTCCCATGTGGGTAGGAAAACCCAAATTCACAGTATATAGAAGGGATTTGCTTCCTAATCCAAACCCTTGGATTAGGAACATCTGAGAAGTTGCAAGGACGGCTTTAGGAGGAGGACGGTAATCCGCAATGTCAGTTTACAGCAAACCAGCCTGTTAGCAGGAGTCAATTGACATGACTGCATTGAAGCAGAGGATCTGTTCCTTCCAGGATAAACCTCAAGGTCCACAAAAAGGCCAAGTTCAGGATATGCCAATTCTCCATCTGCAGCTGAGCAAATGATACAGTAGCGTTTTCCCAGCAGGATATTCTAAACAGTTTATAAAGTCAGAGAGACTGAAGGCATTTTCCTTGAGCTCTCACATCAACAGACAGGAAGGCTGCTGGCTGGGTTTGTAGGACTTAAACAAGTAAAGGATTCACAAAGTTTTAAGTGTTTTGTGCACTTGACACCCCAACATTTAACTCTTGCAGCTTCAGGTGGGTTCAGGAGAAGGGAAGATGGGACTATCATATGACTAGAGGCTGGCTGAAATTTTTCTTTGTATTGAGGAGGAAGGAAAGATAGTAATGGAGACAGAATCTGTGTGCTTTTCTTTGCTCTTATAATTTAGCTAAGAAAAATGCATCTCCATTCTGTATATAGTCTCCAGTAAGGGCAGAGAGCAATTAAGCCACTGCTTACACAGATACAGTACAATAGTGACAGTGTCTCTAGAATCACCTCTGTACTGCAAATAGGAATCACTACCAAAATCTCTCTTCATTGTTTTGTCTGTAGTGTGATTTTAAAAAAGAAATTATGTACTTCTACTAAATTTTCATTCCATTGTAAAGGAAAACAGAATGTAATACTAAACTAACTAAGTAGTTGCATTCATAGCTGGTGTTAACCAGCCCAATTTGTATGACATCGGTGATTTTTTTTCTATCACACACATGAAAAGAGACATTTGAAGTAATTTCTGTTCTCAGAGAAAGCTCAGGGAGTTTCTAGTTGTGCAACCCCCTTTCTCTCCATCTTCAAACTGCAGGACAGCATTACACGGGCTGAAGCAGAGCAGGCTTGTAGCTGAGCGGGTAGAGGGAGGACACACACCCCCCGAGTTCCTCTGCCCTCTCCCCAGGCTGTGCAGGGCCCTGGCCAGGACACGCTGCTTCCCTCAGCACAACTCTATGTCTCCAGGTAAAAAGTAAATCTAGGGCAAGAGATTTTCATTGGATCCAATATTAGAAAATTATCTCAAAGCTAGTAAATATCTTCAGCAGGAGTTTTCTGTCATAGTTTTATTGAATCTGAAAGCAAAGAACCCTGCCAAGCAGCTGTCCCATTATATTTTATTCATATCAAATACTAATAAGCCTCTGATAATTCTGTCTCATTTACAACTTTAACCAATAACATCACACTCATCAGTTTAGCATCACTCTTCTCAGTTTAATATGCCCTGAGAGCCTTACCTAATCTCTCATTACAATATTTGTCTGATACCTTACCACCCACTCAGGCTACTATGCTGCTGGTTCTGCTCTTTAGAAAATTATAAAGCTGGATTTACATCTTCACTGTCATTATTGTAAATAGAGAAAATGGATAGAATTTCCTTTTGGATCTGAGTTTTGTTCTCAATATGAACTCCCCGAGGTTATTAGAAAATCAGGGAGGCTGGAAACCAAAGGCAGTCCCACAGCTGAAGTGTAAAAAATACATTTAGGAGAAAACTACTGAGTTAGAGATCTTTATATTATTCCCACAGGAGAGGAAACTGGGCAGCAACTCAATAACATTTGGAACTTTACTTATTTTTTCTTCATTTTTCTCTATTTTGTTATATTTATTTTGAAGATTTTGTCCCTAAATGCAACCCTGACATTTTGATCACCTAGAAATAGTACATTGGTTGAATGGTCCATTAAATGGTAAAAGCTAATCCACATGCAAAGAAGGGAAGTGGCCACATATATATATAAAAACGTTTTTTGTTGTTGTTCTATGTTGCTCCCCCACCATGTTCCCACTCCCAATTCTTGTGATTAAATCATAAGAAAAAAATAACGTGTTTTAAGCCGTTGGATCAGATAAAGAAAACGGGCACAAATTTCAAGCAGAATTATTTTATGACTCTCACAATTTTTTTTTCTCCTAAAGAGTTAAGGGAGAGTGTCTGCAAAATGATAATTTCAAATAAAGGTTGCAATTTTCCTTTCTCTATGGAACTCATGACCTATGAGCAACATGCAGAGAGAAGTGAGGTTGTCTTGATCTATAAACTTTTCTCTTAGATAAAAACTACTGAGAGACAGGAATCTAAACATCCAGCTTTGGACTGAAAATGTCTTGGATTTCCATATTTAGCTCTACTTTGTGTGCTGAAATTTTTCTTTGAACTGTTTCTTTAAAATGTTGGGGTTTTTTCTTTTAATGTATTCTAAACCTATTTTTATTGAGGAAAGCAAGACATACACAGGAAGAGCAGAAAAATAACAATAAAATCAGCATGAGCTCTTGCCTAGCCGTTCTGTAGAACATACATATTACCCTTGTTCCAGAAGGAAGGTTTATCTTGAGTTTACTGTTTTATAGTACTTGGACATATACAAATTGTTGCGTATTCTTTTAATGAAAGGAGTAGAAAATCTCTGAAAGAACATAAATTTCATTTCCAGACTAACAGGAATGAGTTCCCATTTACTCTTTAGTTTCTCTTTTTGTAATTTTGATTTCTCCATCCATGGTAATAACCCTAGAGATCTGCTATGGAGAAGACAGGGGATTTTAGTAATTGAATGGTAAAAGACTGCTTGCCGTTAGAGATAAGTCTGTAACCCACTGAGCAGATTCCCCAGGGCATCACTGCAGTTGAGAAAAAAAATTGGGTACTCAGTAAAAACCACATAGGAAAAATACCTGCAGAGATCATTTCCCTTTGGGAATGGGACTGATATATCCCACAAGGAACAATACAGGATTTGATGCAAGCATAATCTCTTTCTGTTCACCCTTAAAGAACTTTTTGGGAAATAAATATAACACCCTCCTCAGGACAAAGCAAGAGGTCCACAGGAGATGACCACAGATTTGTGCACAGCAGATCTGGTCTGATGGGACTCAGGTGGTTGAAAACCGAGCTGTAGCAATCGCCGTAGCAAAAGCAGCTCCCCAGGAAACCCTAATACATGAATTTCAGACAAGAAATTCTGCCCCTGTGTGTGCCAAGGAGCTGGGCTCTCAGGCTGCTCATCCAGAGTGACACTCCTGTGGATCTAACTCACCCCTGCAGGCTCTGAGCTCTTAATCACAGACTGTCCTCTTTGGGGAGCGTGAGAGAAGCCCCACTTCATTTAATTAAGACAAGACAAGCTGACTGGGAGCCTTTGGAAAAACAGAAGTCTCTGGCTCTTCCATTGGGTTATCTTCCCACTTGAAAGTGAAGGGCTAGGTCTCAGCATCCACTCTCCCCTATTTTACCCCAGCTTACAATCTGGCCCCTAGTTATTTTTGGGAAGTGCAGGGAAAAAGAGGGACTTTCATAGATCTAACCTCTCTGCCAATGAGTGTGTAAGGACTTGGTTAAATATCTGATTCCATTAAAGACAGAACTGAGCTAAGTGAGAAAGAGGAGACATTTAGGAAGGTGAAGAGGAATTTCCTTAGGGTATCTGGGAAGAGCACCTGCCTGTGACACAGACTGTGATGCTCTTGATACTCACCAGGCATAGCAGGACTGGAAGAAGGGAGTGAGGAAGAAGATGCCCAGATAAGGGTCCATATGAAATATAAAATCCAAATAAAGAGGGAGAAAGGAGATCCTAAAAAAACCCCAAACTTGGTTACCACCACCACCACCAGAAAAAAGAAAAAAAAAAAGAAGCACAACTAATTTAGGGAAGGGATGGAGTTCTTTTCCACCCGGCAGTCCTGGTGTGATGAAGAGGCGGATGCCTCCTGAATCCCACCTTCTGCAAAGGATAACCAATCCTAAAGTAAGAGCTAAAGGGGGCTGGTGAAATGGAGCCGCAGAACTTCCTAAGAAGAGATTATCTACTTAATTAAAGATTTTTTTTTCTCCTAAGTCCTTCAGCCAATCAAGACTCAAGTGCCAGAGAGAGATTGAACTGATGAAAAGAACACCCCAGGTTCCTCGAAGACAAATGCACCACGAAAGGGATAAGAGGGAGGGAAAAGGGGGGGAAAAGAAAAAAAAAGAAAGAAAAAAAAAAGAGAGAGGGATAAAGAAAGAGACAGCAAATCCCTTATAGTAATCACTAGATTCAATCTCCACCAGCACTGCTCTGGCTCTCCATTCCCGGCAAAGGCAACTGGAAGGGCTGCTTTTGAAGTGTCCTCTCCTCCTCCTCCACTGGAGATACTGCTAAGCTGGGGTTCACTGGGTGCTCTGGCGGGGGAGGGTTGGGCTCAGGCTGTCTGCATCTGCTGCTTGGGTCACAGATATGAGATCATTGTCTTTGCCTCAGTCTCTCCCAGAAGTTTAAGGAGGATCAGGGCCAGTTCCTACCTCCATCTGTTTCTCCTTTATCATGGTGACCTGCTCTTTCTTCCCACCTTCTGTTTGCGTCAGGCCATCCTCACCCCAGAGGAGAAAGGCCTCTGTCTAAACCTTCCTATTCCCCCTTAATTTTTTGCTTTTGGCATTTCCTATAAAGTCCATGGGATAGGGTCTTTGGTTTGGAAGGGTTAGCAGTCTCCCACTAAGGGCTTATCCCAGGCCAACAGCTGCTGGAGCTACTTAGAAATGCATCCAGTCTGTGGCAGCTAGCCACATGGGACATCCCAGTTACTGTCACAGCACCCACCACAGATACCCTGACTGGCCCTAAATCAACATGACCAGTTGTATCCCATGTCCCAAAGCCACAGGGAGAGCTTCTCCACACTATGCAGTTGAATTTTGTGCCGTGGACATGATCAGCCAAAACATGGGCTGAGGCCAGTCAAACTCATTTCATCCAGGGCACAGCTAGCAAGCAGAAGTGCTGGACCCAGGCAGGATTTGAAGAGGACTGAGACCGTGTGGCTGAGCCATCAGGCAGGGCTGGCAGCAGGTTGAGCTTTGCTCGGGGACACTTCAGGTGGACCAAAGTCCCTCTTGGATTCCAGAGTCTCAGGAAAGGAAAGCTGCTCAGCAGAGATTTGCTCTCTGATGGATTTTGGCTGTCTCACACCGAGCCCAGCTGTGCTCAAGTCAGGGAGCCCTGGTCAGGCACAGCACATAGGACACTGCTGCCAAAACACTACCTTTGGGCAGAGCCCTGCCTGTCCAGCCAGGGCACTCCCTCACCCCAAGGGTGGCTGGGCAGTTTCTGGGCACCTAGAGGAGAAGAAAATGCAGGTGGCAGCAATTTATCCCAGGGCTGGCTGTGCCCCCAGCTGTGGACATTTTTGTGTCCTATTACAGCAAGACTGATGGTATTTGCACTCATTAAAGCCCCAGGTCCTGGAGCCCCAAGCATTTGAAAAACTAAGGTGTTAAGTATGGTGAGAAAAAGATTGAGAATTTGTTTAGTAGAAGATAAAACACCAAAAACTGAAAGGTGAAGGAAACGAGCCCTTTATTTATTCTTAAATTATTTTTTAAGAATACGGTTTTTAATTATTAATTATATTGAAACAAAATTTCAGTGCTGTGGTGTTTAGTACAGTTTAATGGTTTTGGTGGTCCAATTCAAGTAGTGGAGGTGGCTGTGCTCCCCCTCCCAGGCTGAACTGGACTCAGTGTAGAGAGCAGCTGCAGAGGCTGCTGCTGCCTCAGGGGAAGTGAGGGTCTGCCAAGGGGCTCAGTCCCACTGGGACAGCACTGCTGAGATGCAGGAGATGCCACCGTCCTGCATTTGGCATCTATTTCTGATGGTAGAAAGGGGAAGAATTTTCAGTTGTGTCTTCTAATTCTCCAACTGTCTGTTTCAGGATTCTTGAGCTGGAGTTTTCACATTTCTCAGGTCCGGCAGCAACAGCATTTTGAAATCATGCAACACTTCAGACATCTCTTGACCAATTGGAAAGTAAAGACACCATTGGGTTCACTGGGGTGAGCTGTACTTGTTGCTCCATGACAAATTAAGTAAGAAGATTACAAAAAGTAATAGTAGGAAAAAAATAATAGTAGGTGGATCTAAAATAAACAGATGCAATTAATTGTTTTTATTAACTGTTGCAAGAGGCACCCAGGCCGTTCTCCAAGCTCACAGAAGCACCAGCAGCTTTGGAAACATCAGCCTCCTCTGCCAACATGTAATTCCAATTAAATGCAATACTTACTTTCCTGGAAACAAGCCTGTTTTTCAAACCAAAGAAGCTGGAGGCAAAGTCTGAAACAAAACTGTCCCAAACATATTTCAAAGTATTTTCTTACAATTCTCAAAAGCTATTAAAAAGAAGCACTATGTAAAGAAATGAGATACAAAATTGTTTATTATGTTCCTCAAGTTTTGGTATTGTTACTGACAAAAGCTCTGTACATTTACTAAATGGATGCAGAGAGAAGTAAAAAACATTTTGTGGCCAGAACAGGTACCTCACCCCACCTGACCCACTGGCCAATACAGATCTCTTCTGACCTTTGCACTGAGCAGTGTGATGTGTATTTCACTATTTGTTCATTTCCCAGAATGGCAGGCAGGGCTTGAGGACAACAGCAGATAGAGAACCTGCCACCATCTGCAGTAATTACTTCTAGTTTATTAAAAAGAAAAAAAGAAACAAATAAACCACCCCAAAACAAAACAAAAAAGCACCAAATTTGAATATAACATGTCGAAGTTTAATTTCCAGAGTACAGAGAAAATCCTAACTATCCTAAAATAACTTGTACAAGTTATCACAAAAGTCAGAGAAAAAGTGAAAAATAAGGCCTTTTAACACTCCTGCTTCCTTCCACCCCAGTACCAATGCAACAGATGCATTTGAAAAAGGAGGTTAAGAAGTGGGGGTAATAATTCCAAGTCTGGCTCACAGATATCTCAAAAGTTTATTGGTATCAATGCAAAGTGCCCAAAGAACAGATTTGTTAAAACAAAATGTGCATTAAAAAGGTCAAGAAAGAATTTGACATTTCTTCTGTTAAAAGATATATAAAAGGGATGAGATCAAAATAAAAGGAAATTAATTATGTAGGCAACACACAGAATTCAAACCTGAAAGGGCTGAAATAGTCTCAGGAAGGTCCAGCTACCAGTGCAGTAAGTGAATTTTAGTTGTTTTGACCATAGCTTTGCCTTTTGGACCGACTAAATGCATCTTTAATAGTGCCTAAAGTCTGTCAAAACATCCAGCAGCACCCCAAGAAGGAGTATGTGCTGCTCACAGTCCTGTACTGGACATGCCCTGTGCTATTCTGCTTCTTCAGTCAAGTGGCTCCAGAAACAAAGCCAAATAAAGGCTGGGGAAATGCAATAGCTTTCATGAGATCAACTAGCATGCAATGGAAATAAACATGGAATTTTTAGCATTTTGGCTCTGAAAAGGCAAGAAAGGTGCTGGTGTGCCCAGAAGCCTCTTTGTTTATTTTTGTGTTTAGCTGTACCAGTCTGAGATTGTGCCATTAAAGACAGTATTGACACACCAGAAGATGCCAACAGTGGTGCGACCTCTTTGCTGTAAGGTTGATTTTGTAACCTAGCACTGTTCCCCCACGCTGTTCTGTGCAAGGGTGACGCATGCAGACCAGCCTCCTGTGAGGTCTGCTTGTGCTTTACCAGTGCTGAGAGGATCCTCACATTTGTAGGTTCTCTGTAAGGTTCATGCAGGGACAGCTCAGTGGATCCTTGTCCACTGCAGTGAACTGTGGGGATGGGACACATCCATCATACATCAGAGGAAGTGACTTGACCTGAGGAACCCAAGAAAAATCTACTTGGGAGCTGCTTAAACAGGCCCACTGTTGCACTGGAGACATACATTTTCTTTCCTTTTCAGTCTCTCAGTGCCCCCTTCGATATTATTATTATTGGGAATACTTGTAAACAAAACTACATTTTGAACTGTAAGAATGAAGAATTTAAAAGACTGCTCAGTGACATGCTTCAAACTTCTTTAGCTGAAACTGTTCACAAGCTCTGCAAGAGCCCTAAATAATTCCAGCTAACTTACAACTGGATCTCCTTCACCCAAATCAGTTTGTTTGGCTCTAGTGCAGAATGACAGACTGGTTTGGAGCCCCTTTTGTGAGGCTGACAGGAGGATCTTTAGCTGAGGGATTTGTCCAACCCTGTGATTTTTTGATCTCTGATTTGCTGTGCAGTCTAATGACTGTGCAGCTCTGGGTTACCCTGTAATTTGTCTCTCTGATGAGCCAGCCTGCTGTGTCAAAGCCAGCAGATGGTGCTCCCAGCCTGGCCTGCAGCTGGGCTGCGGCTCAGCACTCCTGTGGAAGAGGATCCCTGGATTGTAGAGGTGCAGGGAAATGCTGCTCTTCTAGACATGGCCATGTCCAGCACAGACAACAGGCTGTGCACAAGATCCAAGCATAAAAATTCTCTTTTTCTCCTCCCTGCTTCTCCAGACCAAGTATCTTGAGGCCTCAGAGTAGGTAAAGTCCAAAGATGAGTCAGACTGGTTGTGTCACAGCAGTGGTGTGGAGCTGCTGGTGGCTGTGCCCACAGCTGGAGGTCACAGCAGTGCCACCTGTGTGCTGCAGCACACTTGCCACAGCCAGCCACTGTGGTGGCCAATGAGACCCCTACCAACACCTGGCCTTAGCTCAGGGACGAGCAGATGCTCCCCAACTCTCAGCAGGAAAGTAGCTGTAAGGCT